ATATATATATATATATATAACACCACTCAGCCATAACATTAAGACCACCCACCTAATATTGGAGTAGGTCCCCCTTTTGCTGCGAAAACAACCCTGACCCATCAAGGCATGAACTCCACAAAACATCTGAAGGTATGCTGTGCTATCAGGCACCAGGTGGTCAGTAGCAGATTATTTAAGTCCTGGAAGGAGGTGGGGGCCTCCATGGATTGTACTTGTTTTGCTAGCACATCTCACAGATGTTCATTGTTGCTCGTTGTCCTTGGGTGTCCTTCAAACCATTTTTTAACCATTTTGGCACTGTGGCAGTGTGACATTATCCTGCAGAAAGAGGCCACTGCCATCAGGAAATACCGTTTCCATGAAGGGGTGTACTTGGTCAGCTACAATGTTTAGGTAGGTGGTACGGACCAAAGTAACATACACATGAATGGAAGGACCCAAGATTTCCCAGCAGAAAATTGCTCCAAGCATCACATTGCCTCTGCGGGCTTGCCTTCTTCCCATAGTGCATCCTGGTGCCATCTCTTCCCCAGGTAAAAGACACACCCGCATACTGCCATCCACATGATGTAAAAGAAAATGTGATTCACCAGACCTAGCCACCTTCTATTGCTCTGTGGTCCATTTCTGATGCTCACAAGCCCATTGTAGGTGATTTTGGCAGTGGACAAGGGTCAGTATGGACACCCTGACCTGTCTGCGGCTACGCAGCCCCATATGCAACAAACGGCGATGCACGGTGTGTTCAGACACATTTTGTATGGGAGCCAGCATTCACTTTTTTTAGCAATTTGAGCTACAGTAGCTTTTCTATTGGATCGGACTACACAGACCAGCATTCACTCCCCACGTGCATCAATGAGCCAGGGCTGCCCATGACCTGTCTCAAGTTCACTTTTCTTCTTTCCTTCAACCACTTTTGGTAGGTCCTTACATATGCAGACCGAGAACATCCCCCAAGAGCTGCATAGCCATCACAATTTGGCCCTGTCGAAGTTGCTCAAATCCTTACACTTGCTCATTTTTTTCTGTTTCCAAAACATCAACTTCAGGGACAAAATGTCGCTGCCCAATATATCCCACCTACTTCCAGGTGTCATTGTAACCAGAAAATCAATGTTATTCAATTCACCTGTCAGTTGTCATAATGTAATGGCCGATCGGTGTATATGCGCGTGAGTGTGTGAGATGAGAGAGAGAGAGAGAGAGAGATCTATATATGCTGTATATAGTCAATTTGGGAAGACATATTCAACTTGTAACATCTGTGTTCACCTTGTTTTTTTTATGTATGCCGACTAGGTTATTTTATATTAATTTATATTATATTCTACATTTAGGGGTTCCACCAGATCGAATCAGCCGAGCTGAAGTTCAAGGTTTGCGATTGACTCGCGTGACAGTGAAACTCGCGTGCTATGGACCAATTTTTTTCTTTTTTTTTAACATTGCTACTGAAATAACCAGTTACCAAAGAGAAGATCACTGAACCAGGATCGAAGCTTTATGAATGTTTATGCTCTGCTAGAAGAAGCGGCTTTAACCGATCCCCAGGATACTATCTCAATAACGGAATTTGTGACTTAATATGAGCCATCATGCTCATTATCCATCACGCAGATACACCAAGATTCCGATGTTGTCGAAGGCTTACATTTATGTAAATCTCTCACCGACTTGAAATATGCTGCTGTATGTGTGAAAATGTAATTTCAGGGATCATAAAAATTCCTCTAGAAGGCTGAGAACACCCTGCAAAGATGACATTTTGCAGGTGGAATCTGAAGTCTAAGCAGCCAGTAACTGTGCCTAAGCTTGACTTCAGTTTAGTTCAAGCTGCGTTACATATTTCAGAAGTAATTGCCTCTACCCTGTAACATCCAGCAGTTCTGTAAATTCCAAAGGAAATTCCTCTAAATCTGTGATGGACGTGACTTCAGAGATTATTCTGCACATCCAGAAGCTTTCAGATTCCCTGCCTGAAGGCATTAATGTGTACATCCAGAGCAATGTATTTCAGGGCACGTCAAGCTGAAAAGGTTTAATGCAGCTGTCAATATAAAGCCTGGGATTTTCAGCATTCTAAATGACTTTTAATGACACAGGGAGAAGCGTGTACTGTGAATTTTTAGTGCTGAACAAGGCCGGGACCGACAATATGGCTGTTATGTGTATTTGGATTTTTGTAAGCAAAATATTAAAAAATAACAGCCATACCTACGGCTAAGTATATTATGAAAGAGACAATATATTGTTTATAGGTGAAATTTGTATTTTTTTTGTGTGTTTTGTTTTTAGTAATAAAAAAAAAGACATTTTTTGACTTTATTCTGTATACACTTTCGTTCTGTGTTCAGGGAAACAATATGACACACAAAGAGCATCATTTTCAAGGGAAACGGTCAGGATAAAATTACAACAGCTACCATTACTGTTTTTTTATTTTTATTTATATGTGCAAGCTCTGGGGCCAGTCATCCTTTCTTTGCTACTTACTGAGCCACTGACGCATAGCAAGTCTACAGGTCAGACAATTCTAGCTGCATCTTTATTCTGGGTCAATATATGGATGGATAGTTGAGCAACTATGACAGTCCTGGAGGTTTAAAGCTGAAATCCAGACTAAATGAACATAATCTAAATACAAGAGGCATGTATTTTCGTAGCCACCTTTTGTGTGTTTCTACCAAATCTGTGCAGTAGTCCAGTATGAAGCAACTCACTGCCACTGCTGCTCTTTCTCCTTCTGCCAGGTGACTGGTCTTGTATACACCTCTAGTTTTCTGCAAGCAGCCTATCGTTCTTGTGCATCTGCTGGGTCCAATGCACAGCTCTGCTTTCTGCACAGGTTATCTGCAGCACATTGATCATTTCAAAATAGTATTTGGCAATATCTAGGTTTAAAAAGGCTTTTGGTGGACATAAAGTGGATTTATACCCTTTGTGGCTATTCAGGAAATGAAAATAAATAAAAGTTTTGGTGCCTGGAGTTCAGCTTTAAAAGGAAATCAACAAGGGCAGCTCCTATATTTGTTTTTTCATATTCAGAAAAGACATTAGAGGAAGCAATTTTGTGGGCTGAATTCATGGCAGAACTGTACGTGGAGACCAGAGGCAAGTGCATTAATGCCCATAGGCTATGAGGGACCTAAACTTCCACCACTTTAGTCTTAAACAAATGCTGCATTGTTATACATTTGAGGAGATGTCTGGTGATATCTGCTGGTACAAGAAGTGTATCGCCTCAGAAGGTGTTTTATGTCTCATCACGTGGTGAATGTGATAATGTCTTCTCATAAGAAGCCCCAGTGATAACTTTTTTTTAAAATGTTTTGAGAGAGGGAATCTATGCTATTTATTCCATCATTGGGTACTCACTCAGGTTATGTTTTATGTAGAAATCTTTATGAATTAAAGGGACTCACAAAGTAACAAAACTTTCGGAAAATGCTTTGATGGAATTTTAATCCCCTGGATAAGTATTCCAGGGTTTTTCTATGTCACACTACTAGCATTTGGCATATGAGCCAGAGAATAGCTGCTTCCACCAAAACCTTCTTTAACAGCGCCTTTGGTTTGTGATAGTGTCCCTTTTGAGGAAAGTACATGATTTTGGAAGGCTCAATACTATGCTATGCTTTGCAACCCTATTCGCATGTCAAAAAATGCTTCCAACAATATCCTCTATTTTTTCTCACTGTTCCACGAAGTTGAAGAATTCACTATTGAAGTCAGAGATGAATCAATTGACCATTCGGAACAGAAGTGTGATCGAAGGCAGGGGATTGCTAGAGGAGGTTTACACCCCATTCTAAAGGGTAGGGCTTTACAAGTATCATTTTCCACCAGCTCTCCAAAATCAAAGAGTATCAAGTAGAGAGCTGCTTTTATAGTTTGACCATCAGTTTAGCCCACAGCATGGCTGTCTCCATTGCCTGCAGCTAAATGGCTGTGAAACCCCCTTTTTTAGGGGGGAATGTAGAATAACAAGCATGACATCACTGCACATTGCCTATGGATAATGTTTACATCTTTTCCTTCTTAAACCGTCATTGTTGTGCCAATCTGTGGGGGTAAAGGGATGGAGTGCCAATACGTTGTGTAGTTTTTATGTGTATTGGAAACACATTTCATTTAATTGATGCCTTAATTAAATTTGTATTTTTAAATAAAGATTATTTGCTAAGACTGTGTCCTAATGTGTAGTTTTTAAATACTTTCACCATACACTCAGTGAAATGATTAGGGCTGCAACAACTAATCGACATAATCGATTAATCGGGTTCCGATCAGTTGGCCCTGTTCACAGCTCCACACGCTGTGCGCCGCACCTCCTCCCCACCTCACGCTCACCGCTGCCAGACTCGCCTGCCCGCATCCACACGCCTCACACTCACCGCCAACCCACATCCACGATCGGCACAGGGACGCACAGGGAGATGTAGTAAGGAGGAGCAGGTGTGGGGTGATGACAGCCGCCGATAGACAGGTCCGATCCACACGTGGTGCTCTATAATGTATTGCTGGGATTTGTATTCCTCTATAGCTGATGGTACATTGTGCTGTATATTATACATAGGAATACAAATCCCAGCAATACATTATACACTGTATGTATAATGTATTGCTGGGATTTGTTGTACTCCTCTATAGCTGGTGATATTCTGCATTGCGCTGTATAGAGGACTACAAGTCCCAGCAATAATACATTATACAGCGCAATGCAGAATACCACCAGCTGTAGAAGAGTACAACAAATCCCAGCAATAGTACATTATACAGTGGTACAATGCTAAATACCACCAGCTATAGAGGACTACAAAACCCAGCAATAGTACATTATACAGCGCAATGCAGAATGCCGCCAGCTATTATGTACTATTGCTGGGATTTGTTGTATTCCTCTATAGCTGGCGGTATTCTGCATTGTGCTGTATAATGTGCTTTTGCTGGGTTTTGTAGTCCTCTATAGCCGTTGCCATTCTGCATGCATTGCTGTATAATTTTACACTTTCCATTTCACTATATTGCACACCACACTATCTTTTTTTTCTTTTTTACTTCCACCGCTCCAAGCTTGCTCCTGTGATGGACTACAACCTCAATACAAACTAGTAGTCCCATCACTGGAGCCATTTTTTAAAATTTATTTTATTGTTTATCCGATTAACCGATTAATCGAACTTAATAATCGGCTAACTAATCGATTTTGAAAATAATCGTTAGCTGCAGCTCTAGAAATGATAATGCAATCCAGGACATTTTACAACTCAATGTGTGAGATTTATCAAAACTGGTGCCAACAGAATCTGGAGCAGTTACCTATAGTAACCAATCAGCTTCTCTCTTCAGTTCAGTTAAGATTTGAAAATGAAAGAGAGAAGCTGATTGGTTGCCATGCACAGCTGCTCCAGATTTTGCTATATTGCTGTCAATGTACCCAGGAGCATCCCGAGGCAGGGTGTCACCCGGAGCAGAGACCGGGTGTCACCCCACAGTGATGTCATCGCGCATGCGCGGTCATCTAATTGACGCCTGCCGCGGCCATCTTTCTGATGGACGCTGGCAGAGAGAGGAGGGGACGTTCATCTGGTAGGATGAGGTATGCCGCCATGTCCCCTTCTTTCTCCTGACGCTGTCTGGCTCTCGGTCCATGACCGAGTGCCCGACTTTTTAGAGGGGGTGACACAAAAATGACTTTCAGTCATTTTGGTCTCACCCGGTGCGGGCCGCACCCCCCTTGTGACGCCTCCCGAAAAACTCTGGTCCCTACTAGAGACTCTTGTCATGATTCCGTGATTTCCAACCAATGTTCTCTTTCAGATATCTATTTAGAACGGTTCCTGTACTTTCATGGGAGCAAATCCAAGGTATTTTAGGCATTTACAGGGGTAGAGCAGTCTGATGCAGAAGATGAACGTCTGGATAAAATTAGCCCAACCTGGAGTTTGGATGTAAGTGTTGGGGTTAATCTAAGTGTTACATTAATGTTAAATTTGGGGGACGGATCATGTTGTGAGGCACTTTGTTTACTTTTTGCACTTGTTTTTGGTGCCAAAAGCTCTGCACCAATAGCTTGCAGTTTTGGGCTTTATATGATGAGTACCAACATAGCACATAGGTAGGAGGAGGAGGAGGAGTACAACAGGCAAGCCACAACCCAAAGATTTACACGTAAGCTTTGTAGAGGGGTAATATAATGCTATATGTTATGTATATATGCTGTCCTCTAGATTTGGGGCAAAGAACATTTTGATGATTGGTGTGCTTTGTAATTATTAACATTTAGGTAGAGGCAGCCAATCGGTGCCTTTTGTCTACAAAGATCTCTAAAGGTGGCCATACACTTTACAACCATCGCAAGACCTTAGTCTTGCGATGGTTGTAAAGTGATTAAAAAAACATACGATCTGCCCATCTTGGACAGGCAGATCGTACTCTCGATCATCGCAAGCACACCCCCCTGAGGGGCGGGCTTCCGATGACCGCAAGGCTGAACGGGCAGTGTGCGCGTGCGCACACCGGCCCGTTCGGCATTTGTCTCCCGGGCACCGTTCTAACCAGCCGAAAATCGTACGATTTTCGGCTGGTTTTCTAGCGTGCTCCTTAGACAAAAGACGTGCGACCGTACAGTAGAAACGGTCGCACGTCTTCGTTCACACTGCTCGTTTCTCGTACGATCGTGGTATTTCCCGCGATTCTCGTACGAAAATCGAGCAATGTATGGTCACCTTTTACATAGGTCCTTTGCCAGGGTTAAGATGCCCATACACTGCTCGATTCTCGTCCGAGAATCGCGGGAAATCCCGCGATCGTACGTGAATCGAGCAGTGTGAACGAAGTTTCTACTGTACGTATTTTCGGCTGGTTAGAACGGTGCTCGGGAGACAAATGCCGAACGGGCCGGTGTGCGCATGCGCACACTGCCCGTTCAGCATTGCGGTCAAGGGGGGCGGGCTTGCGATGATCGAGAGTACGATCTGCCTGTCCAAGATGGGCAGATCGTACGTTTTTTAAATCACTAAGGTCTTGCCATGGTTGTAAAGTGTATGGCCACCTGAAGCTGCATTTTACCTGCTTCAAGCAGGTTTTCAATTCCCATAGATTGGAATAAGAATGCAAATAATGCACGAAGCAGGTAAAATGAAGTTCAAAGGGAGATCCACTGCACACTAAACGCACATACACAAGCAAGGTAT